TGCACGCTTCAGGACTCTCTTGAACAGTGCTGCAGGCACGCAGCCAGCAGAGGTCAGCTTTCAGGGTGACACAGATCAACAGGAAGAGCACGGATGTAAAAATACATACAAAAAGATGAGAAATCCTCACCGCAGACTGCACACAAGTTAGGACAACACTGAGTTTCCAGCATTCGACAAGCTTATTGAATAGTCACAGTGGTACACAACGGAGGAGAAACTCCACTTATGCCCAAACCTCATTTTTAAAGCAGCACCAAGCAGTTACTTGCGGTTAGGAAAGGACTCACGACGAAAGAGAGATGCCGTACAGCTGCATCAGCAATAACATCACAGGAGCACGCTAGCAAAAGTTATGCTTCTGGACAGGCTTTCTACCACCAGGAGTAAACCCACCGGCTTCAAAAGGGGCAGCGAAACAAAGCAGCGCTTAATGAACCCTTCTGCCTTGCAGGAAATGCCGCCTAGGAATCTGCTGACACTACTGCATTCTCTTTTTGGATCTGAGCAGCAGTATTTTGGGATATTTCTTCTACACCTCCCTCTCCACGCTTACTCCCCGGCTATAATCTGAACTTTGGGTGCAGATGACTGCTTTGGGAGACTGATAAGAGCAGGCTAAAGCCTTTAATAGCTAGAATTTTTGCCTTGATAAACACGTCTCTCCCGTGAGCTTTCAAGGCCACGCGCTTGCACCTCCACCTTTGAGTCTCACTGCAATAGAAGCGCTACAAGTGATTTCATCAGCTCCGTGTGGGTGCCTGCAGCGCTTCGCTCGCCTCCAGACGGTGACGTGTCAGCCTGTTTCTAGTCACATTATCAGTTGTTTTAGCTTAGCACCCAAATCTGGCGTTCCTGAATTTAATACACGGCCAGATCTTTTCAGAACATTTTCACCCTTATTGCATAACATTCTTCTATTGAATATAAAGAGGCACCAAATTAGGTGAAATAATTATAGCCCTAATCCTACAAATAATTTGGCACGGGGGTTGCTTTTCTCACGTAAAACATCCCATCGACTCTTAATAGGTCTGCTCCCACGAGAAAAGTTAACTGTGCGCTTCAGCAGCGGCAGGCCTCGGCCCATGCACCTCTACTTTGGCTTAAAGAAGATTACAGCAACTCCCTTAACCTGAAAAGCGGGGG